TACCCCTACTCCAAGGCCCTGCATGTGTGGGTGGTTGTGGTGGAGCGGGAAGAGGGAGGCAGCTGGAGATGGGGAGGGAAAGAAGGGAGGGGCAAACATCCAGTTTAAACTGATTTAAAGGTGGCAAGGTGGTGAAGTGCTATGCCTTCACAGGATGAAGGCTCCTAGTTTGAATCTTAGCTGGAGCTTTTCTGTATGGAGTTAGCATCCTCTCCTTGTGCCTGCACTACTCCGCCTTCCTCTCATGTCCAAAGACATGCCTGTTAGGTTAATTGGTGATTCTAAACTGCATGTGATAAAAGGAGTTAAAGTATGGCACGAGGATCATGATAACTTTGAGATTTTAATGATTTCTTTGAACTATTCTTTTTTTTTTCCAATGTGGAATGATTGTGCAGCATTACACATCTTTAATGACTTTAACAAAAACAAGAAATGGGTGCAAAAGTTTGAATTGATTTTGGATTTTCTTTCATCCATACAGGGTCATAGTTATGCATATAGACTCAAACATATACAGTGAGCAACATAAGTATTTGAACACTCTGCAATCATGAAATCATGGAGGGGTCTGAAATTCACATTGTCGGTGCATTCCCACTGTGTCACACAGCATTTAAACAACAATTTAAGAAATCACATTGTATAATTTTTATGACATTATTTGTATAGCACTGCTGCACATAAGTATTTGAACACCTGGCAATCAGCAAGAATTCTGGCTCTCCACCTCTACTCCACTTATTGTGTGGAAAAGTGTGAAATTACACCATCTTCTGGTCAGGTTTAGAGTTTACAAAAGTAGAATGGAAGGAAGAGCCTTCAGCTACTGGGCCTCTCTACTGTGAACAGTTGTGCTTTGAGACACCCTTTCCACTTTTTAAAATTAGAAATAAAACTTTCCCTTTTCATAAAGCTGATAGCTAGGCTTGGATCATGTGACCTTAAAGCTATGCTATTCGATAAGCCGAGGGACTTCCCATGACGAGTGGTTCTCCACTACTCCTATTTTCTTTTTAAACTCTTTACTCTATTTTTTCTTCGAAAGTTTTCACCTAAAAGTAGTAAAATGAATAAATGAAATGATGTAACTGAAGTTTAAAGTGTAAGTAAAAGAAGGTTGCTACAACCATTTAAACTTCCACATTAAACTTTATTTCACTTTCCTTAAACTCTCCAGGAATCAGTGCAGACCTGCAAGGAATCCAGCTGTTCCAGCCATCTATTTTACTATCAGATTTTATCTCCTACCCATCCACCTACATTTATCTGCTTTCTGTTCCAGGGAATGAGGGAAGGACAGTGGAATGGAAAATTAAAAATAGAATCTAAAGTCCTTTTAAGCTAAACCGGTGCCACGTATTGTCAATGAATGCTCCACCTGTCATTTCATTCTTAAGAAAGCAAACCTCAGGTATAAAGGCAAACTTGTTCTCTACAGAGAAAATAAACAGAATAGCTTGAATGGAGTTGTCTTCTCCTTTAAAGCTTTAAAAGTATGGGCGGGGATCGGAGTTCGGTTTCAGTGCCGCCTCCTTTTTCTGTTCTCACACCCAGCAGCTCAGGTCAGTCACAGAAGAGTCAGCGAGCTGACGTGCTTTGGTTATAGCTTCAAGCTTTCCCGGTTGATTATGAAATTAGCTACCATCAATGAAGAACCACAATACGACACGCCACTGGGGAACTTCCACAGCCTTTCCACACCTTTTTCAAAGGTCGCTGACCTCTGAAAAAGGACTGAACCAGTTTGACTTTTGTTTGTTAATGACACTGAACTTTAATATACTGGATGAAAACTTTTATCAAGTGAGGAGATGGCCAAAGTGCACAGACTCTATGTAGGAATAGTAATCGGTAAGATCTTTTCTCTTGTTCACCTTTCTTTCTCATTGTCCATAAGCAGAAGGCTAAAAACCCAAAAGGATAATATTAAAATGATATGTAAATAGTTCTTGTTTTAAATGCATGTCCTGTACGGTTCCAGTTTTCTTCTCATATCTAGTTTTTAAAATGTCATTTGAATAGCTCTATGTTGTTTTGACTGGTATTAAAACCATGTGTTATCAAAATAATAGAGCCAAAACAAGTTTACAGGCAATTCCCTGCTAAGCAACTTGTGGAATAATTGTACTTGTACAACAAGCTTCACTTGTGGTTAATGATTAAATGAAAAGCTCATGCACAAGGAATGTGCATCTTCTGTGATCATTAATCATCATCAAATCAGGCTTCCCTTAATATAAGTTTTGGAAACTGTTTGTGATGTTGTCCTTTCTATAGGTTTATATATTAAAAAAAACAATTATTTGCCAATACAGTCACCAGGAAAAGTAATAGAGGATGTTTATAGAGTAGTAAAAGTGCTGTCATCGCTTATCCAGATCCTGTAAGTACAATGCGGCTAAACGCTGGTTAAAATGTGCAGGTGTACGTACGTTGGTTGTGTGTGATTGGCTTTTTGTTTGTGCTCCTGGCTGCAGCTCTGACCTTATGCAAATACTGCCTGGCAGAGTGGAATGCCACAGACGCGCCTCCCACTGGAACTGTGTCCGACTGTCATCTCCATGGCAACAGAGACAATTGCACAGGTAGATATGGAAAGGTGGTGTAAGGGGCGTTTCTGTGACGGTGTCATAACTGCTTCTTTGGTTTGACTTTTTCAGTAGTAGAAGTAGTAAGACAGATGTTGGTATGAGACACACTTGGAAAAGTATATTGTTGAGGAGTCACAATATACAATACACAATATAAAATGTATCAACCCTTAGTACAGAGGTATTGTCAACAACCTCTGCTGAGTAATTTCTGTAATTAAGCAAATTTTAACTGCAATCTCATCATCGTTAGATGGATTTTGGGGAAATAAACCACTAGATAAGACCCATAACATGGGTGTTGTGTTTTATATGGGATTAAGTACAATAGCATAAATTTATATATCTCCATATATATCTCTATCTCTCTCTCTCTCTCTCTCTCTCTCTCTCTCTCTCTCTATATATATATATAATCTCTATAATATATATATATATATATATGTTGTGTGTGTGTGGGTGTGTGTGTGTGTGTGTGTGTGTGTGTGTGTGTGTGTGTGTATTCCTTTGGAAAAATGTAGATTAATTTAGATAATTTTTTGAACTTAGGAAGCTAACTAAAATAAAATTAAAATATTGAGGAATTATGCTTAGTTTTAGTATCTAGTTTTTATTACGACTTTGCTGATAAGACATTGATGGACATGCTTACTGAGACTGTGGATATCTAGAAGACTGTATGTGAACTTCTTCCAGAAAGTTCAGAGTTTTTATTGTAATACCTTTACTGATTTCCTTATTCTCACATCTGAATTATGCTCTCTATACAATAATGATTAAAAAAGACTAAAACTTACACTTCCACTCTAGAAACTAAAATGAATATAAGACAAAGACACAAAATAAAATTAAAATAATAGCTGACTATATAATAGAAAAGCTCTAATCAGTCCAAATTAATAGTTTGAAAAGAATTGAAATTAATAGATTCTATTTAAGATTTGAAACGAAAACTGACTTTATGTTTGTATATCTATAAAACAATCACCGTTGTTTAGCTAAGGTGTGCAGAAAGCGCAGAAACAGGTTGAAACACACTATTTAGCACCGCTTTTCACTTTGATTTGTGATTTTTTATTTTTTTTTAAAGATGTAGTATTTTAATTTGTGAGCTTTATAGGGTCTAAAGACTTGTTCGGGTTAGCTATGTCCTGTTTTCCACTGTTTTTGCTAAGCAAACCAGCAGCTAGTGTTAGCTTTATAGCTCACGAAGTGACAGTGGTATCGGTTGTCCCATCTCGGCTAATTCTTGGCAAGACAGCAAATAAAGCTACTTCCCAGACTATCTCTTTAAACTTCGTAACATGAGATTTTTCCTTTCAGCACTGAGGTCATGACAGCAAACTGGGTCTCGTGTTTCAGCTAACAAGTGAAGCGCTCTCATTGATGTCGCAGCACTATTGTTTTACAAGCTCAATATTCAAAGATAATGTCATGAGAGCCGCTTGTAAAGATAGCGGTATTCAGAAGAAGTGTTATATGAAACCGGTGGTCAGAAGTTCATCTCCATGGCTAACCAGCAGCTGTCAGGGTGTGTTTTATCATGTGTGTCTGTGATAGAGAAAAGGGAGAGGATGAAAACAGAATCCCATTTCATTTTGTAAAGAATTTTAATGAAACGACGTGATTTCCAAAACAGCTGAGATGCTTCAAAAATGTGAACAAAAACAGGATGATTTTCGAAAATAGGTCGGGTCTTTTAACTGGAATATTTTACTACTACGTGAAAAATATGAGCTCATTTTGAATTTAATGGCAACAACATGTTTTAAAAAAGTTGTCATGAGGGCAACGCAAGACCGGAAAAGTAAGTGGTTAAAAAAAACAGCTGGAGGAACATTTTATAACTAATTAGGTTAACTGGCAATAGGTCACTAACACGATAAGGTATTTAAAAAGAGCCTATGAGAGAAGCAGAGTTTCTCTGAAGTAAAGTTGGGCAGAGGTTCACCAATCTGCAAAATAAATGTGGAATGTGGAACAATTTTAGAATGATATTTCTCAAAGCACTTTTAATATAATATCTCATCATCTACGGTAATAATACTATCATATCATCAAAATTATCAGAGAGTCTGGAGAATTCTCTGTGGGTAAGAGACAAGGCTAAAAATCAGTATTGCATTAAAAGCAGGTATGATTCTGGCAGGAACGTTTTGGCACGGACTCAGGAGCACTTCAAGACATCAATGTTTGCGAACACAGTTCACCGTGCCAACTACAAATGCTCTGTCGTGCAAAGAAAAAGCCATGAACATGATCCGGAAATGCAGCCTGAGCCAAAGTTCATTTAAAATGAGGGCAAGTGGAAAACTGTTTTGTCATCGGACAAACTAAAATTTGAAATTCTTTTTGTAAAACAAGATCACGGTGCGCTCCGGATTAAGGAGGACAAAGACAATCTGGTTATGATCAGCATTCAGGTCAAAAGTCTCCAAAGCAAAGCCTAACCCTAACCCCAAGGCCAATAAGTATCATGGTAGAAGAGCTCAGGGGCTAAACTGGCTTGCAGTCCAGATCTTTCACCAGTTGAATACATTTGATGCATCATGAAATGGAAAATAAGACGAGTCAGGACTGCTGAGCAGCTATAATTTCATATCAGATAAGAATGGGAAAACATTAATTTTCCAAAAGTCCTGCAATTGTTTACAGACTGGTGTTAAACATGGCCCAGTCCCAACTTTTTAAAGACAAGTTGCAGCCATCAAATTCAACATGAGCCAAACTTTTTCTTAAAGGATTTTCGGTTCGTATATTTGATATGTTTTCTATGTCCTATCATGAATAAAATATGGAATAAGGAGATTTGCAAATCATCATATTCAGTTATTATTGAGATGTTGCAGAGCATCCCAGCTCTTCTGGAGCTCAAGTTGTAGAGACACGTGTCTAATGAGATCTCGATGACACCAGGCCTTTCCTGGCATGCATTGCACAGTTCTTCAGTGGATCGTGTTACAAACAGTCTATATATACACACATCATGCCATGCCAGAAGGTGAGGGAGTACATCAAAGAAGATCATGACACAGTTACAGAAATAGACGTTTGGAGAAATGAGCTCATTTGCTTTTGGTACATTTGTTCATTTAGACAAGGTGACTGATAAATCTCCATTAGGCCTATATACTAGGCACATAAAGAAAATCTTTTTGTGTTAGCCATACACTGCAGGCGATATGAAAGACAGAAATCTGAAAAGCAGCGGGGGCTCTAACTTGAACTTGGTTTTGCTATTTGAAGTAGAGACTGAGCTGATTAGGTAATGATACAGCTTATTCTTAGAAGTTGTTTTAGTGCAACCGATACCTGAAATCAAGAACAGCACATGGCACTAGGACTTCTCAGCGGTGACCATTTTATTGGAACCATAATTTACAAAATAAGCATTATGCTGTATTGAAGAAGGCTCTAAAACATTGAGTCTTTTAAGAAAATGTTTTCCAAAATCAAACGTAGGATAATTTACTCAAAGACTTCTCTACAATCTGATTTCTTTTGGCAGTCGCAATAGTCTCCCCCTGTTGACCATTAGAAAGAACGCAGGGTTAAGGCACTAACACACTGACTTCACTCAGTGTCTATATGCTCGATATATATATCTATCTGTTTTGTATACAATCAGTGACAGTGACATTAGAATTTGATAAATAGTAATATTAATAAAAAAATTTGTGCTTTACTTTTTCAAACCATAAACAAAAAAGGCTTTTTGTTTTTTCTAAACAAAGTATATTTTTGATTTGGCATAAGATCAAGAAAATAGCTTCGATATGCAACATACACATTTTCCCCATAAGTACAGTTGGAGGACTCCATAGCTACATATAAGCATTTGAGTAGCTTTAAAAAGACAAGTAACAAGGGAACACAGTTCATCTATCTCAGGTTAAAGGGAACAAACTCCAGCTACCAGCCCAAGTTGTAGTTTTGCGAGGGCTTTCATAAGGGACTATTTTATGCCTAGTAATAGTGACAGGGTCATTGTTGATGGTAACAGGCATTATCATAGAGTAGACTATTTTACCAAAACTATGCTTTATATAGAACAACTGACAAATTTCAATGTTTAATTTCTGTATTTATGAGCTTCTATACGTGCTTGCTAACAATGATTAGACTCCTCCCCTTTCTACACATTTTACTCCTCCAGAAGACACAGTAGATACTGGACAGTCGAATGGGCACTTCTCAAAATGCCCAGAGGAACTTGAGTATTACTGCATCCATGGGGAGTGTCGTTACATAAAGGACCAGGATGCACCGTCCTGCAGGTGAGGCGCAGATTTCCAAACTCTGTTTTCAAGTTGTGCAAAATGTAATTTAAACAAAACTCATTCTGCAAAATCATTTAGCTGTGGAGCAGAGACAGTGACAAGAGACTGACAACAAGGATGTTTATTTGAACAAACAACAGGGTGCAAAAGAAAGCCCTGTCATTTATGTTCCTGCACGACAATGCTTCCAGGGTTCCGTCCGAGCATGTTAAAGAAGTAGACGAACAGATGCCTTGCAAGAAAAATGCACACGAAAATGAAGTTAGGAACACATTTTATGTTCTTTGTCACAGGTGTCAGATCGGTTACATTGGTTCCAGGTGTGAGTACCTAAATCTGGAGGTGCAGATACAAGGCAAACAGAGAATCATAATTACCTGTGCCATCGCAGGGCTTGTGCTATTAATTCTTCTTGTTGTTTTCATCTGCATCTGTTCACGGTAAGTCTGTGTACATGTGAGGGGCTAAATGAAATGTTTTTTCACCATTGTATGGAATGCATGTAAAGGATCAGAGTGGATGCCTGCTGCATACTGATGATTAGCTCTTGGCTCTTGATTGTTGGCCATGATTGTTTCTTTCTCAGTCGTAGGAGGAGATTACAAGGGGACAGACAAAGGGAGGAACCAAGGAATGGGACGGAGAAGCTTGGCATGATGATGGACAGCAATGCAACAGGCTCAACTTTAAAGCCGGACTCAGCAGAGCAAGCCCTCACAAATTCTGTATGAGAACCTAGCTGAGGAACGTGTCTGGGAATCTTTTATACATAAAAGATGATAGCTGTCACCTTCGCTTAAGCAGTCGGAGGTTTGTGAACGGCACCGAGGCATTTATGGATAAAGTGCATCTGTCGGTGCACTTTATGGGAGTTTATACAGTTCCTTTTAACACTCTTCAAAGAAGTGTGAGAGCAAAGAAGATGCCGTCCAGGATTTATGATAAATATCAGTCGGAGAGCTGTGTTTAGCTGCTGGTGTGCTGGCACGGGTGATTTTTCCACTTCTGTGGAGAAACAGGCTCATCTACCCTCTGACTAAGTGCTGCTGGGCTGCACCGCACTAAATAAACTGTTGCTATCCTGGAAAAGGCTGTGACACCATTTGGCAGGCAGTGATAACAGTTGATCCGGCTGATAGTGCCCTTCGTGGGCGACACATGGACACTAAGACATGGAAGAAAAAGGACTGCACGAAGATACGGCACTCCATAAACTCCCGTCATGTGAACAAACCATTAGATGTATAGAAATCCTCAAGAGTACTGCCAGCTGCTGTTTTAGTAGCTTTGTGTCATTTTTGTATTGCTCCTATTTGTTTAAGGCTGGTTTTGCTTTAGTGTCACGTCACAAGATCAGAGTGTTTATTGTACAGGCACCAGTAAAATCAACAGTTATCACGTATTCAGCAATCCACAGAAATGAACTAACACTGAATATTGTTACTCAGAAACATTAGCAATGCAAGAAAAGCATGTATAATTATATCCACACACACACACACATATATATATATATACAGTATGTATAAAATGAGGTTCTGGATTCTCCTGGTTTGGAGGAGGACAAGGAGAACTTGTGCTGAAGGCTGTTTTGATCTGTATATTTGGAGCCGAGCAGCCTCTGAGCTACGGAGGCTGAACAGCTGAGCCTGTGTGTGGAGGCTTGGCTTAACTAAAAGCGCTCCACTGTATGAGACAGTTTCCAAACTTGCTAGCCTTTCACTTTGGGGTTTTAATGTGTATCTGTATGTGTATGAGCTCTAAATGTAGTCTGAAGAGAGTGAGGACAAAGTCAGAGAAGCTTGTTCTCATGTTTATATGTCACCTGTCAGTAAATGTGCCTCCTACGTGCACTGTGCATTTGCATTTGCTTCAGCCATTTTTTTCTAATTTGTCTTTTCGAATGAAACTGACACTATGTGGTGCTCTCTAATAAATGGAACATGCCTTTACTCCGCAGGCTAATAAGTGTTCATGATCGCTGCTGATGTGCAAATTCCTGCAGATAACTGTATCTCTGTAACCTTTCATATGAAACTATTATTTCATCCTCCACAACACAGACTCTGGACTACATAAACAAACATGCAAGACATACTGCAGTCATATTAAATCATAATTATGCTTCATTGCAGGGGGTTGTTATGTTGCTATGGTGCTGTAACTTGTGTCAGCAGTGTGAGCCAAAAAATACCAGTTTGACAGTGAACATAACACACCATCATCCTACGACATAAAGAGATGTAATCCTGCTGGCACAAACCTGCAGCATTACATCCCCAAATGGGAATTATCCTGTAACTGACTTTATCCTTAAAACCATCACAGCTTTGCATACACCGTAAAAAAAAAATCCTAAAAAACCAGTAATATTCCGGCAGCTGGGGCGCCAAAACAATACCAAAAAATAACTTTCCCATGAAAATACAGTTATTTTCAGTAATGACAATACAGTTTGTTGCCCTAATTTCACATGGGATTTTGGCTTCTTCAACATTAAATTAGGAACATTTTAATGTGATTAAACAATGAAATTACCTATAAACAAGGTCAATGAATGTGGCAATATGAATCATAATACTTAAATGTACAGAAATATGCAGTTAACAGTTGGTTTAAATAATAATGGATTGCATTCATATAGAGCTTTTTGAGACCTTCAAAGCGCTTTACAATTCCCGTCTGGCCATCACCAGTAGGTGAAGCGTCATGCTCAAGGACACAATGACCGAGAGTGTCTGAGCCGGGACTCGAACCAGCAACCTTCTGATTACAAGGTGAACTGCCAACTCTTGAGCCACGATCGCCCCAAATAACAATAATAATAATAATTTGATGTAAAAAAAAGTTTATAAGAATCATTTTATATATCTAAATATGCATGTGTACAGACAAATACATTTAACAAACAAGAAAATTATGTTTTATTACATTTACAGTGATTTTACATTAATTTGCATTTGAAATGTGAAATCACAGTCTATTTATGTAAATTGAATGATATTCTAGAAAAACAGTACAAAACTGTAAAATACACAGTAAAATACTTTTGTATTACATGTCATGCACATGCAAAGCATCTATTACATGTATTATCCTAAAAGTATGCTAAGGAAACATGAGAGATAGATTTTACTACATTCAAAATTATCTTAAGAGTTTAAAATTCACAATTTTGTCATCTTAGTAGAACCTTAAATGCCATGCACATTCTCTATTAGGTATCGACATGCTAAGCTATTATGTCCAAGCTATTCTTATACGTCGTTTACAATATGGCAGACAGAGATATCATACTGTTACACCAAGGAGGTCAACTCAAACTAATTATTTGGGTGTCTGAAAATGCAGAGAGATGAGTAAGAAGATTTATTTTATATTAAGAAGATTTACCCTCATGTCCGTCTGGTGAATATGAATATAAATGAATGCAGCTGGTCTGGTTAGCTTTGTGTTAGCAGAGTGTACTTATTGGTGAGTTCTCACCATTTTGAGGTCTGATATTGTCCTACCCAGCGGAGCGCTTTTTGAAAATCATGATCTGCAGTCTTTTGTGTGGTGCCTCCTGTTTCGCTTCTGTGAAGGTCTCAAGGGCAATGTTGCAGATTATTGTCTAGATTGGAAGGTAAGTGTGCAGAAACTCACTGTGGTCCCTTATCTGCAGGAGGGGAGTGGATGTACTAGAAATGGAAAATTTATAATGCAAAAACTTCTTCAGAGCTTCTCTGTTTCACAAAAAACAAAATAACTGAGATGACACATATGTTATGTGTTGCTCCAGTGGTCCACTAATAATTGCGGCTTCACTGTGTGGTGCAGATTGATGATCTGTTTATGCCTCTGACAGCACTGTGGTGCATACAGTCAGGTTCAGATAGTCATCTGCTGCCAATATATTCACATTATTTCAACAGACTTCATGTATTTGATGCATAAAGGCTTCTTTATCTTACGCTCAACTCTATCCAGTTCTACAGACTTTAAACCAGACACTGGATGAGAGGTCACCCCAAACATGTACAGGGAGTGCAGAATTATTAGGCAAATGAGTATTTTGTCCACATCATCCTCTTCATGCATGTTGTCTTACTCCAAGCTGTATAGGCTCGAAAGCCTACTACCAATTAAGCATATTAGGTGATGTGCATCTCTGTAATGAGAAGGGGTGTGGTCTAATGACATCAACACCCTATATCAGGTGTGCATAATTATTAGGCAACGTCCTTTCCTTTGGCAAAATGGGTCAAAAGAAGGACTTGACAGGCTCAGAAAAGTCAAAAATAGTGAGATATCTTGCAGAGGGATGCAGCAGTCTCAAAATTGCAAAGCTTCTGAAGCGTGATCATCGAACAATCAAGCGTTTCATTCAAAATAGTCAACAGGGTCGCAAGAAGCGTGTGGAAAAACCAAGGCGCAAAATAACTGCCCATGAACTGAGAAAAGTCAAGCGTGCAGCTGCCAAGATGCCACTTGCCACCAGTTTGGCCATATTTCAGAGCTGCAACATCACTGGAGTGCCCAAAAGCACAAGGTGTGCAATACTCAGAGACATGGCCAAGGTAAGAAAGGCTGAAAGACGACCACCACTGAACAAGACACACAAGCTGAAACGTCAAGACTGGGCCAAGAAATATCTCAAGACTGGTTTTTCTAAGGTTTTATGGACTGATGAAATGAGAGTGAGTCTTGATGGGCCAGATGGATGGGCCCGTGGCTGGATTGGTAAAGGGCAGAGAGCTCCAGTCCGACTCAGACGCCAGCAAGGTGGAGGTGGAGTACTGGTTTGGGCTGGTATCATCAAAGATGAGCTTGTGGGGCCTTTTCGGGTTGAGGATGGAGTCAAGCTCAACTCCCAGTCCTACTGCCAGTTTCTGGAAGACACCTTCTTCAAGCAGTGGTACAGGAAGAAGTCTGCATCCTTCAAGAAAAACATGATTTTCATGCAGGACAATGCTCCATCACACGCGTCCAAGTACTCCACAGCGTGGCTGGCAAGAAAGGGTATAAAAGAAGAAAAACTAATGACATGGCCACCTTGTTCACCTGATCTGAACCCCATTGAGAACCTGTGGTCCATCATCAAATGTGAGATTTACAAGGAGGGAAAACAGTACACCTCTCTGAACAGTGTCTGGGAGGCTGTGGTTGCTGCTGCACGCAATGTTGATGGTGAACAGATCAAAACACTGACAGAATCCATGGATGGCAGGCTTTTGAGTGTCCTTGCAAAGAAAGGTGGCTATATTGGTCGCTGATTTGTTTTTGTTTTGTTTTTGAATGTCAGAAATGTATATTTGTGAATGTGGAGATGTTATATTGGTTTCACTGGTAAAAATAAATAATTGAAATGGGTATATATTTGTTTTTTGTTAAGTTGCCTAATAATTATGCACAGTAATAGTCACCTGCACACACAGATATCCCCCTAAAATAGCTAAAACTAAAAACAAACTAAAAACTACTTCCAAAAACATTCAGCTTTGATATTAATGAGTTTTTTGGGTTCATTGAGAACATGGTTGTTGTTCAATAATAAAATTATTCCTCAAAAATACAACTTGCCTAATAATTCTGCACTCCCTGTATTGTCACATCAAGGAGCCACTTCATAATCACCAGTTAACCGGACAAGCAAGTCTTTGGACAGGTTAAAACCTAGAGCCTTCATACTGTGAGGCATCTGACACAAGCACAGGTTCAGGTCAGTTTTAGTTATATAGTACCAAATTACAACCACACTCACCTCAAGGTGCTTTAGAGTGTAAGATAAAGACCATACAATAATACAAAGAAAACCCCAACAGTCAGAAAAAACCTATGAGCAAGCATTTGGCAACAGTGGTAAGAAACATTACGAAACCTCTGGTGGAACCGGGATCAGGGAGGGGCGAACCATCCACCGCGACTGGTTGGGAGGGAGACAGGACAAAAGACACACAGTTGAACTGAGGCAGAGATTAATAATAATAATAATAACTAATAATTAAATGCAAAGTGATGCATAAACCCAGATTGAAAAGAATTGGATGAAGAAGAAACACTCAGTGAATCATGGGACGCTCCCAGCATGCTAGTTCTATTTCAGCATAACAGCAGGAGGGTTCAGGGATGCCTCATCCAGCCCTAATTATTAGCTTTATCAAAACAGTCATTTTTAATGGTGTTAAAGATAGAGTGAGTGTCTGTCTACTGAATCATCAAGCTAGTGTGGGAGAAATATGCTCTCTCATTCTAGTCCCGAACAATAGGCTTTTAATGTCTTGTTGATATACAAGTCAGAGAGAAGCCACTGCTGACCTTGGCCAAATGGCCTTGGTCCCTGTTGATGCAATGACTATACCTTTATCAAGGTCCTCACGTGATCGGGAGTCTACACCACTGTATTGTACAGCTATGCGTTATATTGGCTGTAACTATTGTCATAGTTGATTCCAAGGTAAATTAACTGTAACTTACTGTATCCAGCACTTTTTATACTATCAGCCTCATCCACAGGCAGATTTTTACACACACTGATGCATCCATGCAAATCCAGGTGGACGCATCAGGTCGTGTTTTTGGGTCAGAAAGGGGAGATGGAATTGCCAACCCCATGAACAGCTGACAACTCGCGCTAAATACTGTTGCGCTACTACTTTACATCTGCATCTCTAGAAGATCATTTCTGTATGAAGAAAAACTGGTCTAACCAAACTTTAACGATACTTGACACGTCATATTGAAACAAAGAATCTCAATGACATGAAACAGCTTTTACAAAACTAATCCTATTAGAATGCCAGCTCTTTTTTTGTCTTTTTTGTGTACTTCCTGTTAACATACCTGCTGGCACTTGCTTTGTTTCTCTGTGTTGTGCGCATATGTCACGTTCCTTTCACTTCATCAGAGATGGGAGGGATGTCACAACTGAGTCAACCATGTTGCAGGAATAGCAGTTGAAAAACAAAACAGGCTATTAGCTCATCACTACCACTGCCTGGAGTACAATGCAATGCCTTTTTTCTCTTTGTACTTTAAAACACCACAACAGTACATTCGTGGATAGAGCCTTTTTTTTTAGCAAATCACAAGTAAACCACGGTGGCAGTACAGATTACAAGCTCTAATGTTTTACATACTACTCATAGCATGGTATCGATTTGGACTGTGAAGTCAGGGTAGACTGCAGTAATACACTGTATTACATAAAATTGCACGCAGCCATCCCAGCAAAGATGCCCTCTTGGGGCCCATGTGGAGCTACTGTGAACAGGCCTACATTACACAGTGGGCAACCCACTGTGTAATGTAGAGCCTAGGTCCAGATTGGCCACAGTGGGGCAGCTCATGGCATGGGCTGAATGTCGGTTGCTCACACTAAGCAGACAGGGACCCATTATAAATGTGCAGCATGTCCACAGTATACCTACATTAGAGGAGTGGGCTGCCCTACCCCAGTGCGGTCCCCTGATGTGCCTCATGGTATGTTAGTACCACCAGTTAGAATGCAGTGTGGACCAGAATGTTGCTCAAAAAACAAAAACAAAAAAGCTGCTGCCATTTTCACAAGGAGA